ATACATATATCTAAAATAAATACAAAATTATTGTATAATATCAATCTCCTTTTTAGTAAGTATAGCGGTGTGTGAATCAACACAGTAGCACTCAGCACTATTTCTCTTGACAAGGTAAATTTATATTAAAGTTTTATTTTTTATTTTCTGGAAATTTTAAAATAACCTTTAATTCTGAAGATATTAAACTGTTCTTATATATGTTACACATTTTATGTCTATTCTATTCTGATATAAACTATAAAATAAAATTACTTATCATAAAATGAGATTAAAATTTTGATATAACAATACTTGTTAATGAATAATTAATTTCTTCTACAAAATATCTCTGCATTATACACGAGGATTGTATAACAGTTCCAAAAATATGAATACTTTATCTTGAAATTTTAACAATTGATAACAATCAAAGAAAATAAAATATAAAAACTACTATAAGTACGACGCATATAGATAATAAATCCATTTATAAATTTTTTTACTATACATTAATGCATATGTTCTATTGCCTCTTTTGCAATGTATTTATTAACATCCTAATCATGGATTTTTCACTGAGTTTCAATGAAATATATCTATTAGAATTTTATTGTTATATGTTCAAAAAAGGATGAAAATTGATTATTATCATACATATATTTTTCACAATAAGCTAATAATTAAGTAGTTAAACTATATAATGCATAAATCTAAATTTAGCAATATTATAGATAGACGATGATTCATATAAAATTTAGATTTAAATATGGTAATAGTAATAATAAAAAAATTATTAAATATCCATATGTAATAATTAAGGGATATATTATTAAATTATATATTAGCAGATTGGAACATGCATTTGTGCGAATATATGTATGCATGTACGGATGATTAAATATAAGGATGAATGACTTGTATGCTAATCTTTATATGTTCAAGAGTCGGTTGATTAAATAATTCAAACAGGATCAGTCCCTAAGTGGAAATAAATCTTCTCACTATATATATATATATATATATATATATATATATAGAGAGAGAGAGAGAGGAGGGAGGGGAGGGAGG